TGGGCCCAGTATGAATTATTGATTATACATTGTGCCAAAATGAATAGTTATTGTTAACTAAAAGTAAAACTATATGTTGATTGCAATCGATCTAAAATAAAAAAAATTGTTTAAAGTACTAAATGACTAATTAAAGCTAAATAGAAATATAAAAAACTAATACAAATGACAAAATTACATAAACTAAAATTTATGATTTAGCTTTTAGTTTTATATTTTCAATTTAACCAAAAAACTATATAATGGTATTTAAATAATACCAAAATAACACTTAATAATATTTAATTGTGTTTTTGCTATTAAACTAATAAAATATCCCTTCCTCCATTATATTTCTTGTCCAGGTTGCCTGCAGATCAAAGGAGGGGTTACACAAATGTCTTCAATGCCCTCGTCAGAATTACTAGGGAGGAGGGAGTGTCCACACTCTGGAGGGTAAGCGTGTGTGTGTGTTAGCTTAAATTAGAACATTGTTTTTGTGTAAACATGTTATGTGTGTTACTGTTACTATCGTTACAATTCTGTGTGTGTGTTGTGTGGTGTGTGTGGGTTTTCCTGTATGTTTGCTTTACTTTTCTGAAACTTTATATATGGGTTTTTTGCAGGTCTTAAAGGGGTCTTAATCAGCCCTTGCACAAATGAAGGCCTTAAAAGGCCTTAAATCAGAGCTGAAAGTCTTAAAGTAATAAAGTCATGGCATTAAATATTGCATTCACTTTAAAAAATGAACGTTTCCTTCAATCTTTTTGTCTTAAAATATTTAAATCAAGATACATTTACTTGAGATGCAAATATTTTTCAGAAAACAAGACTTCATATCTTGTCATTTTGATTTTCAAGTGAATTTTTAGACATTTGAACTGCAAGACAAGGCAATAAAAGTAAGCAGTTTTTGCAGTGTGATCAGAAGATACTTTGGAGCAAAGGTATTCAAGCTTTTGTTTTTGTGAAATGAATTAAAAAGTAATGAAGATTTGAAGGAAGTTGTATTTTCATACTTTTAAGGCTAGCTAATATAACTGATTCTGTGTGCTTCCTAGTCATGTACACATTTACATTGAGAAAACACATTGTGTTCCCTTCAGATTTTCACATACATTTTCTTCACTTTGTCTTAATTCTTTAATTTACCTTCATAAAACCTGCAGAAACCCTGTGTACATGTAATGATATGTGTATTGTTTTCTTTTTCATGTAGGGTTGCGTACCCACCATGGCTAGAGCAGTTGTTGTGAACGCAGCCCAACTTGCTTCATATTCCCAGTCCAAACAAGCACTGTTGGACTCTGGTATGAGCCTTCTTTTATCTTATCAGTCACAAACTTGTGTACTGTCAGCCCTTCTAGAAAATCTAGCTAATATCAGATTTAGATGGTAGCTAACTTTTATTTATTTACCCTATTAGGTGTATCATTCTATGTGTGTTCTTCTGAATGAGGGAGTTGTATAACAAAGATCAAACTGAAATGTGCTGCAGTGAACTTCATCATCTCTCTTGCTCTGTGTTTTGTGCAGGATATTTCAGAGATGATATCCTGTGTCATTTCTGTGCCAGTATGATCAGTGGACTTGTCACCACTGCTGCTTCCATGCCAGTAGACATTGTTAAGACCAGGTACAATCACTTCCTAATTCCTGTGATTTAATACTAGACTATTATGAAATAGGGTGGTATGACAATATTATGATGATGATGATATAAAGTGGCTATCGTTCGAGGTTTTGCTATTTCGTTTATGTTGCTATTTATTTGCTATGTGGTTTACAGAATTGTATACAGTATATAAGGACCTAGCTTGATGCCAGGTGTATCAGTATTGCGGAAACATATCTAAACATTCCCTAAATTCATTAATATTGCTGAATTGTGCCCAGAAATTGTGCATCAGTGTGCTTTGGGTACCAAAAATATCAAAATCTAACATCTGTGAAATAATGAGCACAGGTCAATGCAGGTAACTGACCATGCATGTTTTGTTCAGTTGTCTTCTGGTTAGGGTTGTACATTTTGGGACTGATTATTAAGCTACAGTAACTGATCTAAAGGAACATGATTATTCATATTGTATCTTATCTTATGTATTCATGCTAGTTGACAAATACGTTTTTATTTTTATTTTTTTATGACTAATACTGCTGCTCATATGTAGAGAGAAAGGTGGCTGATATCACAGAATACACAGTCTGTATATATGAAATGATAGTGAAAGAGGGTGACCAAAAACAGACCAAAATGTATATCACAGTAAAGGCCCGTTCTCATTAAGAACAACTGGATGCAATCTAAAAGATAAGATTGCACACAACAAATGATTCACCCATTAAATAGCACCTGACTTAAAAGAGAAGACTCAAAACATTAGAAGTCTTCCTGCTGATTCTGTTTGTTTCCTGTCGAAATTGTGTTTAATATTTAATGCTGACTTATATCTCCTCCTTTTCAAAAGAATCCAGAACATGAGAATGATTGATGGGAAGCCAGAGTACAAAAATGGTTTGGTAAGTTTTCAACTCATTGTCAATATTCAGCACTCAATCTCTCGCTATGTTTCCGTGTTGCACTGTCTGTTTTAAGCAACTGATCTCAGACTGCTGGAGTTGTGATCTTTCAGTCACACTGATGCAGGGAGAACGTCAGAAATGGATCAAGTTTCAGTAAAACCTCTTGTCTTGGAGGAAACCCAGAGAAACAGTAAACAATTGATTTGTGCTTGGTTGCAGGTATTAGTGCACCAACAGTAACGTGATCAGCAGGCCAGTGTTATGGTTGTGTTGTGCAATAGTCAGTCCCACCATCATTTCAAAGGGCTTTTTTTTTTTTTCCAGATTTTGTGGCAATGGTGACACAAACATAGAAATCCTCATAAATCTGTTTTGCTGAAAAATTGTGTTAGACGCAATAGCTCGCACATTGTCACTAAATCAGTATGTAATCAGTGACACCGATCAGAGTTATGTTATAGTTAAAGGGATAGTTCACCCAAAAATGAAAATTCTTTTAAATTATAATTACTCACCCTCATGTCGTTCCAAACCCATATGACCTTCGTTCATCTTTAGAACACAAATTAAGATATTTTTTATGAAATCTGAGAGCTTTCTGACCCTGCATAGACAGCAATGAAACAGAAATGTTCCCAGGCCCAGAAATGTAGTAAGGAGATCGGTAAAACAGTCCATGTGACATCAATGGCTCAACCGTGATTTTCTTTGCGCACAAAAAGTATTCTCATAGCTTCGTAAAATTGCGGTTGAACCACTGATGTTGCATGGATTGTTTTACCTGGACTGTTACTTGAAATAAAATAAATGTTAACTGAAATAAAATCTTATTTCAGCTAGTTTCTAAGGCAACATTTCTCTTTCATTTAGTTTAACTTGACACTAAATAACTAAAACTGAAATAAAAATTAAGAAGAACTATGTAGACTTATTTAAAAGCAACAAAAACGAATAAAAGTGGCATAAAACACAACAAAAATACTAAAACGTAAAAATTAACATGAAAGCACAAAATATAAAAATAAAATCTAATTCAGAATATTAACGAAGACCATATAGTATATCCTGTCAGATCTTATCGCCACTGAAATAACCGATTATATACTGTACATTTTAAATGTTACAATTTTTTGCAATTATATCAAGTTGTTGTTGTTGCAATAGTGTTTTGCTTCTTTTAGTTTATATTCAAAGTGATTGCATTCACTAGAAATATTTAAAAAGTGCATATCC